TTACTTCGACTTGCAACCAACTCGACTTGCGATCAGAGTCACGGAACGGATTAAGTTCGTAAGTAGAGGTACCACTGTAATTTCCCAGTGTCACAACATACCCCAAAATGCCAGAATTACTGGCATGTACTGCTCCAGCAGTCAGCATGGCTAGAAGTGCCAGTGGTGGATGTGCTGGAAGCCTCTGAGATGACTCAGAGAACCAGCGGGGCTGCCCCCCCCACACACACACACAATACCACAAGTCTTACGGCTTGTTTGCATGCTCTGCTTGCCCTGGGATGAGGACGCCACGCAGACCATTTGTTGGCAATACGAACACGTGACCGTCTCCACCCAGCCAGCCTCTGCCCATCATTCCTCGCTTTGCTCTTCTGCTTCTGCAGCGCAGACCCATGCAGAGTGGCCATTCATTCCAAGTGCCCACTCCCCTGGCCCCCGGTTGCCTTTTGGCAGTGGGTGTGCCCACAAGTCATCTCTCCCACTTCTCCTGCCAACCCCAATGGCAGAAGGAATGGGAAGCAGGTCTTCTGGTTGCCCGTTCTCACGGGTGGCAGAAGGCAAGTGGACGGAGACTTTGCGGCCGGTCCTCCAGACCCACGGAGACTAAAGAATTGTCCAAAGAACCGCTTTCCCCCCACCTTGCCATGGGAAGGGAGAAAAGAAGACTGGCTCCTTTGGTGCCGGTTCTCTAATCCCAGAGAGCAGAGATTGCGTGGGTCTCCCGTTGCCTGTAACTGGCTTTGCCATCCCACCTCTCTCTGCCCACCATTTCTGGCATGGGCAGAACCCCAATTCTGCTTTGTTACTGAGGCAGAACATGGGTTGGAAGTGCATTCAGCACTTTTTAAATCTGGCGGTTTCTGCCAGCTCCCACACATTGGAGTGCTGCTGTGCTAAAGAGGTCTTAGCTGTTCTCCCATCCACCTGCAGTGAGAGAAGGAACCTTCCAGGCACCCAGGAAGAGGCAGGCCATTCATGACGGGTGGCTATGGGCAGGCCCCAGAGGAGCCCCAGGCAGTTTTACCTCCAGAGTAGACAGCACAGTGCTGAAGTGGTCCTATGTAGGTCCCAATTCGCAGCTTCCCTGTGTCCTGCACACAAAGACAGGGGTTTACTTAGAGTAACCAAACTCATGCAGGGCACCCTCCTGAGCACTCTGCAGGCGAGTGAAAGCAAGACAATCTGGGAGCAAACTGGGCAGCTCCCCTTCCCTCTGGCGCCTTCTGGCTATCAGACTCGCTCATCTGTTTCCCCTTGAGAAGTCCCCATTTCCCCCTGAGCAACACGGCATTCATAGCCTGTTTCTTTTTTTTCCACAATAAGCAATTCTCACAGTGGGGCACAGGCTGCCCCCTTTTATTGGGACTGAAGGCCATTCGGAATCAGGATGAGCAACGTGATTCAGGTGAATGAAAACGCCCCTGCTCACAAACGGCCCCCGAGGCACGCCTGGGCAAAGGAAGAGCGAAGGGCCGTCCAGGTGAGGATCCGCTTCACCCCAAGACATCCGACCTCCTACCTCCTCGAAGAAGCAAAAGCCAGGTTGGGTTCTGAGGGAGAGTCTATTTTTTATATATATATATAAAATTTTTGTTAAAGATTTTTTAAAAAGAAGATAAAAACTAGTACAAGGTAATACAAAGAAAGAAAAAGAAAAGAAAAAGGAAGTAATCAAAGAGAAAGCTAAAAGTGCAAGAAAGGAAGAAAAAAGAAAAGAAAAATAGAAAGAAAGAAAAAAGATAGAAAGAAGTAACTTCCAATCATCTTTACAGCAGATTGATTGATTGATTGATTGATTGATTGATTGATTGATTGATTGATTGAATTTATATGCTGCCCATCTCCCCAAAAAGGCTATTAGTGCAATTAGTCCATAAGGGGTTGGTTCTGAGGAAGAGTCTAGAAACGGCCTCAGATCACCCCCTAAAAGGCCGCTTCTCACTGGGAGGAGGAGGAGGAGGAGGAGGATACTGGCTGCAATCCATGATGTGGCCACACTTGGCATGCGGGGTGCAATGTCAGCAACCTGGTCTGAAAAGTGGTATCGAAGGCAACGTAAGGGATGCGCAGTTGACCACCATTCTGTTTTCAATCTACACACAGAAATGTTCTATTTCCACAGCAGTATTTACTCATTTCTTCTTTACAGCAAGCTTTCAGGTAGCCTGATAGAATTTCTCTGGTAGGATTCACTAAAAAGGGGTTTTCAGAACAGCCACATTTTTAATCTTATTTTTTCCTGGCTTTTCTTGACTAGAGTTCTTAAAAATTCCGCTGACTTTACTGTTGGTCTCTGAGCGGGGTGAACGCAGAGAGGGAAATGCACTGCTGCTCTCAGGCATTTGAGCCTCCAGGAAGCCTCTCCATCCAAGCATGGAAGCTAAAATGATCTGCGCCACTTCTAAGTGAGGCTGAGCCAGACAGACACGGACCTTTTCAACTTTAAGGCATCCCTGAATGCAGCCGCTGTTTAACAGCAAATGCTGCGGCACTGGATCTCTGCCGCCAGTAAAGCTACTCAGGATGGGTTGGATTTTTTTTTCTTCTCAAAATCAGATCAGGAGGTTTTGCACTTTGGAATGATTAGGAGGCAAGATTTTAATATTGGGGGCTATTTTGATTAAAAAGAAGCAAGGGGAATATGACAGAGGTTAAATCTCTCTCTCTCTCTCTCTCTCTCTCTCTCTCTCTCTCTCTCCAGCGAGCGGCTGGA